AAATGATTTCTATACTCTTCTTTACTATTAGAACATACTAATATATCATCAATATACACTATTAAAAATTCATTAAACTTTTTAAATATATTATCCATCTTTCTTTGATATACTTGTGGTGCATTTTTTAGACCAAATGACATAACTAACAATTCATATTTTACTTGAGGTGTGCTAAATACAGTATATTGTATACTATCTTCTTCCATTTTTACTTGCCAAAAATCCTGATTTATAATCAAATTTAGAATAATATTGTTTTCCTCTTGCAAGATTTATTAGTACTTCTTTATTTGGTAGAAAGTAACCATCAAATTTAGTATATTTGTTTAATTCTTTAACCATTCTAACTTTTCCTCTAACTTGTTCAGAGTGTTTCATAACCATAAAGGCTGGACTATTCTGAGGTCCGTTACTATGTCTAATAGGTTTTTGTTCTAATGATTCTTTTATCTGGCTTTTAAATTATTGTGTATCTTCTATAAGATACATCATTGGTCTTACTCTTATTGTAACATTTTCTGTTAATTCTATTTTGACTTTTGGGTGATATGGTTTCCAAAATAATAATGAATTCTCTCCATAAACATTTTCTAATTGTTCAATGATTTTTTTTCTATATTCATTTCAATTCCTGTTTTTAGAACATTTTTATATAATATTCTTTTATTTTTTATTTCATTATTGAGAATTGGTTTTTTCTCCCATTTATCATCACGCTGGGCTAGCTAAACTCTATAAAGTTTAAATTCTCTAAGAATTTTTAATAAGTGTCCACAAGGTGTTTGTAACATTATCATATAATTATTTTGTTTATAATATTGAAATTGTTGTATGAAATCATTTCCTAATAATATATCACATTCTAATTTATCATATTTATAAATTTTATTTATCGTTACTTGTTGACTTCCAAGAATTATATTAATTTTGTCAGCACTATTAATTATTTGAGTACTTTCTCCTGTAACATCAATTATTTTTATATTACTGTTATTATTCCATGATTTTATTAAAAAACTTTTAATTATCGTTATATCACTTCCTGTATCTATTAAAGCACAAGTTGTTATATTTGTTTCTACAATAGTAATTTGTATATATACAGCTAATGAGAAACTTATCTGATTATTCATCTAATTCTTTTTACATAATATAATTTGTCCATTACGAGCAATATATAATCCTTCTCTTTTTATACTATAATCTTCTAATCCATTTAGAAAACTCATTCCTAAAAATATATGAGAGTTTATGTTCATATTTCTATCTATGTAACATGGTACTAAAAGATCTATTCCTCCTATTTTTATTGGTACCTTAACTTCTAAATCTGTTATATGTACTTGTCCATCAAAATTTACATACTTATATGATTCAGTTTTATGAGTTATTAGTCCTTTATTTCTAATCGAAGTTATATGACATTCACTAGCTCCTGTATCTATTAATATATTTGGTCCATTTATATTTTCTCTTCCATTATAATATTCTCCTTCTATTTTCATATTTCCAGCATTTCTATACAATTTTACTTCTTTTATTTTGTTGATTTCTTCTAACTGGTTTTTATTAAGTATTTTAAAACTTTTTGATCTTTTAATTAATTTTCCATCCTTAAATGTTATGTTATTAGAACATTCTCCTTTATTTAATTATATTATTTCAGGTTTATTTTTTGCTATACTAAATTCATATTTTTCTGGAATTAAACTTATTTGTTTATTTGGTTATATTATTTTACTAATATCTTTACATTCTTTATGTACTTCAATATATGGTTTATTGAAATAAATATTCTCATAATTAGAATTGGTAAATGTGTAAAAAGCTCTATATTCTATAGTCATAATTTGATCACCTGGTTGCATAATATCATCCATATGAAGTTTAAAATGTAATCCTAAAACTTCATTACAATTTCTATCTTTTAATGATACACAATATTTTGGATAACATGTAAATATAATTTTTTGATTTGCTAAATTTCCTTCTATTGTTCATAAATGACTATCTTTTAAATTTTTTATTCTTCCATCATGTAAAGTTATAGTTAAGGGTGAATCTATCCCTTCTCTAAATAGTGATTTGAACATTATTTGTATTCTTACTAAATAAACATATTGAATTTTTTCACTTTGTTTTTTAATAATCTTTGTTAATAGTTCATCAACTGTATTTTTTGTTAAAAGATTTAATTTATGTTGTCTATAAGTTGTTCTTACATATATGATTTTTTCTATTTTTTGATATTCATTTATTGCTATTATTTCTTTTTTCCATATTTTATCAAAGACTTCTCATTTTCCTATTTTTAAGTCTAACGATAATTTTTGTAATTTTCTAAACTTGTTATTATCAAAAGTAATATTTAATACATATCCTTCTATTCCTTCATATTCTTGAATATTTATATTATTGCTTTCTATTTCTTCAATCTCTTTATTCAGATCCTGATTCATCCTCTTCTGTTTCATTTATATATACTTCTTGATCATAGTATTCTTCAATATATGATATTTCACTTAATTCATCTTTTATTTCTAAATATTCTTTTTTTAATATTCTAACTTTTTTTTTATCACAATCAGGGCTTATATGACATATTTATCCACAATTCCAACATTTACATTTACATTTACATTGACTTTTATTTTTATTTTTATTCTTTTGTTGATTATATAAGTTATTTATTCTTTTGTAATATCTTCTTCTAGGTTTTATATATTTTTTATTAAAATTTCTAAATTTTTTAAATCTTTTATTTTTATATTTTCTTTCATTAATTCTTCTTTCAATATTACATCCCCATTACACAGGGGTTTTCATATCTTCACAACATGTTTTAGTTAATTTTTCTGAATTTTTCATTAATTGTCTTTGTTGACATATATATGCAAGTTTTTCAAATAAAAATTTTATTCTTGAACCTAAAGTTCTAAGTATTTCAGTATTATCTCTAACATATTTTTCAAATTCTATATTCCCCATGAGCCTGGTAATTTATTATAATACATGTCTTGGTATACTTCTTGATTTTCATTACTATAAAATTGAACATAATAGTAATTTTTAAATTCACAAGTATATTCTTTAATTTTACACATATAACATATTATTAAGTTTATTAATTTTACTCTAACATTATCTTTTTCTCTTATTGATTATTCTTCAGCATTTCTTATCCACTTTTCTCCTAGTAACTCATCTGAAATATATTCTACTAATTTTTCTATACCTTGTCTATCTGACTTGATTATTTCTGTTTGTACATTTCTTTTTATTAATGTTTTTGTATCATTACTTATTCCTTTCCACCAATTTCTAACATCTCCTTCAAATGATGCTATTAAAAAATCTATTTTTCTTTCAATATTTTTCCATATGTCATTTTTGTTATAGAAAAAGAATAATATCATTGAATCTGTCCAAATTAATAAGGCTTTTTAGTATCTATTTTGCAGTTTAAATCTAGTTTTGTTCCTCCATGATTAATTGGTTTATCATAATTATCATTTAATTCAAACCTATCTTTATATTTATTTCCTTCAAGTGGTTGTTTATCTCTTATTTTATTATAGAATTGTCTATATGGTTTATTATATATATGTGCATAGCTTTCATCTGTGTCATGTAATTCTTGTTTAGAGGTTCCTGCTGGATTAGGTCACCGTCCAGTATTCATTAAAACTTGGTATTCACTTATATCAGTTAAATTTAATTGATGAAAATTTTCTATTAACAAATATAATTCTTCACTCATCTTCTTTTTCTTCTACGTTTAATTTTCCTAATGATTTTTCTCTAAATTCTTCTTCCTCTTCTAGTATTTTTGGTAATATATTCTTTCTAAACTCATCATCCATGCTTCCTATTTCTATTACTATATTTTCTTTTTCTATATGTTTCTTTCCTATTCGAGTCATCTATTTTTCTATAAGTTTTTTTTTTTTATCTATTTTCTCATCTTTATTCTTACTACTTTCTTTTAATTCTCTAATTTCTATTTTTAATATATTTATATCGTTTCTTGTTTCTTTTACTTCATTGCTCAAATCTTGTATATCATTTATTAACATTTTTATTAATGATTTTAATTCTTCCATATATTCACTTATTGACATCTTAATTTTTTCTTATTTCTAACTCGTAGGTTAATTTACATCTTTTATCTTCTTTTTTATCTATTATTTTTCTAATTCTTCTCTCAACTGTTTCTGAATCTACTAATTCTTCTTTCACTATAGTAAAATGTTTGCTCTCAAGTTTTAGTCTTTCACATTTTAATTTTGTTAATTGTCTATTATTTGATATTCTCATTCCTTCTGGTATTAACATTATATTTTTTATTTCTTCTTGTATTTTATCCATTTTTAAAAGTAATTTATTCAATTTTTGATGTGTATTATCAATTGTACTCATATTTTTCTTTATAATATAAATTATTTTCTTCGTCTTCATATATATTAATAATTTTTTCATATGTATAATTATCTTTTATTTTTTCTATTATTAATTTTTCTAGTATTTGTTACTTTATTTCTTTAGGAAATTCTTTAATTATTGTCAAAGTCATTATTTTATATAACTACCTTTTTCTTCTTCTAAACACCAATAATTATCTATTTTTCTAATTTTAATTTTCATGATTTCTATGACTCTGATACCAATTAAGGGGGTTACTTAGAGCGAACAAAAATCAATTAAATCAAATAAAAATATTAATAAAATAAATCAAACAAAAATTATCAAATTTCAATCAATATTTAATTTTAGGGACTAAAATAAAAAATTTCTATATTATGATGCCTTGTTATGTAATATTCAAATGGTGAGCATTTTTTATATGTAAATTGTCTAAGGGCCATTTTGAAAAAGTAAACTTTTAAAAAATGTTATTTCCATATATTTTCCGGAAATAAAGCCCACGCCTCATCCGTAAAAACCCTAAGGTACCTTCAAAGCAACCACCGGCTCCAGTTCCAGTCAAGCAGGTAAAGAACGTCATATGTATCTATTGGATAAATATATGGGCAAATTTTCCCTCTTGGGTGCATGAATCGAAAAAATTTCTCATCTTCCTGGATGACTATTAAAAAGGTGTAAATTTTTTAGGTTGATTTTCTTTTTCTTGTTTTATCTGTTCCTCACCTGAAGATCCAGTCAACTGTTATTTTTTTTCTCCTTTCTTTTTGGCTACTTGTGGCATAGTAAAGAAACTGCTAATATCGTGCTGGGATTTTATTTTATTTTTTCTTTTGAAGTGAGCCACTTATGGAAAAAACTGAACCAGACCAAAATGGTCTGTTCTGGTTCAGCCAGCCTTACAATTGGAAAAAGAAAAAGAAAATCTCTGATAAATGAAATAGCTCTGAACTGTATTTTGCCTACCCCTACTTAATGAAGTATTACTGCTTATTTTAATCTTAAGCACTTTATTACTTATCAGTTGGTGTTTAAATATTAATTAAACAAGTATACCAACAACCCAACTTGTTATTTCGACAGGATGGACAACTGATCGCAATGTAATATGTTGACTTCACTATTCTCAAAAGACTACAACTCAAACAACATGGTTTTGCTACCATAGAAAGAGAAATCAATACATATCTAGTTTCATTCCATTGTTCTGGTGGAAGAAAATGGTGCAGCTATTCCTCATTTTCAAGAGGCTTGGCAATTTACTAATTTTGGAGGATAAACTTTGTTTTGATACGAATGACCTTGTGCTTTATTTGGAATTTGTGATGGAAAATGATCTTGCTCGAAGCAAGATAGGTGGAAGAATTTGTGATCTTAGTATGGGCGGTGTAGGAAATATTACTCCCTCTTGCACTTTTTATAAGGTATGCATATTATGTATCATGATGCAAATTTAGAATATTCTTTTAGTGAAATACTAGAACTAATGATTTTCTTTTTTAAATTGAGCTTGGCACGAGTAACCATGAAAGGATTATTTTTATGATATTTATATTTATTGACCTTGCAAAATTGTCGCTTTGATTTAAAATTTAATCTATTGGTAAGGACTAGTAATTTGTTGCTAAAATTAGATGAGTTTTAGTGTTATAGATGGAATGGAACCAAAAGTTTCTTATTTAGAACTCAAAATCTATAGTTAGTTTTATGGTATAATTAGATGCCTATTGTATCAAATTCATAGCTATTTTAGTATTTTTAGATTCTTTATACTTTGCAATACATTATTAGTATCAAGTATAAATAATTTCATGAATTCTATATAATGATTTTGAATATATTGTAGATTGATTCTTGCTATTCATCAATGTTAATTTTCTTTAAATTTCTTTTAGGTATAAAAATAGCGTGGAATTAGTCGTGGATTGGCATCACAAAAAATAATGAATGCAAATAAGAATAAACTTATTGTACAAACTAGAGGGAGATATATGCTCATTTGGTAAAGCATTCTCTTTGCCAATGATATTGACATCATGCGAAATATTGTCTCATAGCGCTTTTTGGAGTGCATCGACTGTCCATGGTAGGGGAACGAGCCTACAAGCGTCTTAATGTAAGTAAATTTTGTAATAAATTTAAATTATGTTTACTATAATCAATTAAAAGTTTTTTACCTTGATGTTATGGAAATGTTGATTTAAATGATCATCAGATATTTGAAGTTATCGTAAGATGTCATTAGAGGTATAAACAACACAAAAGCGCATGTAATAAAAATACATAAAATTAAATTTAGAGGGAAATGATCCGCTACAGTGTAAGCCATCGACCATTAAATCACAAGAGGATTGGGAGTGGATGTGTGCACACCGCTTTATAAAATTTTTCCTTTGGGGGAGTGAATTGAGAGGCAGATTTTCTTTTATAGTGGCAGACCTTCTCGTGTTTATGTCTTTGATAGATCTCATGATTTATGAGTTTAGTTTTGTTTTCCAGTGAAAGATGCAAATTACATGACATTTGACTTTGGCTTTAGAGTTAAAAAAAAGGGAAAGAAGCCATATTTTCTGCTTCAAATTTTTATAATGCCGTTAATCTTGTTATTATGTGGGTTCTCCTTGGTGGATTTATTCGAGTCAGCATACTAAAAAATTAATGGAAAGCATCCCATGCCTCTATTTTATGATAAAGTTCTCCCCTCAACGTCGATTTTCATGTCAGTTTGTAGTTGAATTCCTAATATGAGTTGATTATTCATGCTCATTTTCACTTAGGTTCTAATTTTTTGCTCTGCTGTGATGTGTGTCGAAAGCAAAATGTCATTATTTATTCATGTTTTTCCATATGGGAACAGAAGTCTTCATGGGGGCAGTGAAGGAGTGTTGAGGTTTTCGATTTGGTTTTACTTGGTTTTTAGCCTCCGTTTGACATCATTAATTTTCATTCCAGTGCATTTCATTTCTTTCTCTCTTATCTTCAACCACACAATCTTCCATTAAATAATATTACACGTAAATCGAAAATTTTTCCTTCTTTTTCAACCACTCATTTCTCAAAAAATTATTATTCCACCCATTTTCATTTCCATAAAATGGGGCCCAAACCCGCCCCGGGGGAAGAGGGGGGGGGGCTTAATATAGTGTTCTTTTATCTCCAAGTTTGGTATCATATATAAACAAAATCACTGTGAGAGTATTTCTGTTTAACAACTCTATATGGTGGGCTAATGGATGAGTGATCAAGTTTTATTTTTGCATAGTTTTTTATTTCACTGGAAGAATGAGTTGGTCTCATCGAATTATTTAGGATGATGCATTTCACGGCAAAAGGATGGGATAACCAAGTCGTGATATGTAAGATAAATAACTAATAACACTAATATATTTTACAATAAATATTGTTTATTTTAACAACTTTTTGGTATTATATGACAGAAAGGCAGTGGAGTTGCAACAATCACAAAATTAGCTTGAGAATGATACACTTGTCATGGATGAAACAGTAATACGTGCTCAAATTCTTAGTAGGAGTTTTAAGACTTGCTCGGATTGGACCTGGTCTGTGCAAGTTAAATAGCAGCGCATACACGGCTCTTTCTAGGTTTATTACAGAGCTAAAAACCCTTATGCAACGAGTCAATGAGGAGGATAATGTTATTAGAGAGTTTACACTACATCTTGAATAGCATGCTTATTCAAAACTTTGCTAGAATTTGAGTTAGCATCCTCCTACAAGGTCAACAATGATCCTCCACCACAGCTATCAATTGGTGCAGCAATAGTTACCAAGAAATTATGGGAAGTTATCTTTTTCTAGCAAAATCTATGCCCCTGTTTGTTTATATAAAAATTAAATTTTAGTATATTTTGATAAAAATTGATGAAATGTGTAGATGAAAAGTTGTAGGATTCTTGAAATGTGTGGTTAAAATTTATTATTGATTTTAGATTTTAATAAGATTTTTTAGTTGAACCAAATGTGAGCTATGACTTGTGTTTTTTTGTTTAGTTTTCATGCTAATTGTGCTTGAAAGTTTAGGACACATTTGTAACTAATATTCAGTAACACATCCTTCATATTTTGGTAACAGAAACACCGAAACAAATATTCCAAACATTGTTTCAGGACAGTTACGGAGAGCCAAATGTGAGCATGGCAAGGCCAAAACGGTACAATTTATAGCAAATATTTTGAAGAATTTTTTTAACAGTTTTAAATTAAATTGGCTTTCTCAACTAGAAATTGTACTGTGCTCAGGATCTAATAATGTGACCATTAAATATGTTAAATTAGATTTCATTCATCATGTCGAAGATTAAAATGCATATGCCATAGATTGCAATCATACACGTTCTTTCCAAATGCTGAATGAGCTATTGTACAAAGTACATGAGCTCCCGTTTGGCCTTCATTTTTTTGAAATTTTAATGGTTATAATAGTGTTTTTTTGAAAAATGTGTGGTTGAAAAAGAATGAAAAGTTTTTTATTTGTGTGTAATATTATTTTATGGAAGATTATGTAGTTGAAAATAAAAAAGAGAAAAAGAATGAGAATGCGGGCCAAATGGGAGCTTAATAGAAAACAAAGGGGAAATTCATTATTTATAATTATTTTGCCTATAAAGTGTTAGTTTCTCTACGAAGTTCAGGTTTGGAGGAAAGGTAACGCTACACGCACATCCCGATGTCCACCCCTCGCATGGAGAAGGACCCTCTTCGAATAAAATATAATTTATTGAAGCAGGTCCTCTCATGGATATCGCATTATGCACAAATAACATCTTTCTTGGGAGAATAGGTATCAGTAAAATTTACAGATTCAAGAGCAAAATAAATTTGAGCAGCTACGTGCTTATCATTTTGTGGCCTCAAAATTGCAAAGCTCTACATGCAGCACGGTACTCCAGCCATGCCATTCTCAATACAGTATTCAAGAAAGCACGCACTTCATGAGCATTTGTGCCTTTTGTGATGCTTTTTCCGAGTAAAACGCTTGACCGATTATCCTTTATTTCAATGTAGAAAGCATACACTTCATTTTTTTTGAGATTTATATCTTTGTAAATGTTATTCAGAATTTATGAACTGAACTTTGTAGGAATCCTTCAATTTTAAATATCAAAATTCCGACGGGTATTAATATGTTAGTGTTACATCTCATCCGACAAGACTTCAAGCATCGACTACGTGACAACTAGCTAGCAAACAAATTCAGGTCCACATTCATCGTCACTATCCTACCTAGTATATCGAAGACCATATAACATTGTAGTAGAAGTGATACACCACACCTGTCAAACCTCCATGTAGAGGTCGAACCCTCCATGGCAGAGGCAAAGAGATACGACATACTGCAGCACTAATCTGAAGTAAACAAGCTTCAACCACAAGGGCGTCACATTCTCTCACCTCTCAGAAGAACTACTATGTACAAGATCTTCTATGATTAATTGATGTGACATTTTTACAGCAAGTACATAACAATCAACTTGTCAATCTACTTTTTAAATATCATGTCTAGGTTATAGGTTGGAAAAGCACCAAAGCCTCTAAACCTAGGACGGTAGAAGTGAGGCTTATGATAAAGAGTATCAATCGTTTATATGAGGCCACATGTCCTTTCATCCAGTGTTAACCACTTCACTTCTCTTATTATAAGAGCTTATATTCAGTGTCATTTAAAGATAATGCAGTTTTACATACTTGTAGTATTATTGCTCGTTGACTCTTGTTCTCTCTATATACCTTTGTGCTTATACACACATTCGTGGCTCATATCTTTTGTCCGTCCTACATCCGAATATACATATACAAGTTGACTGATTTGACCATCTAAATACTCGCAGTCACCTCCCCCACGATCGGAGAAGGTCACATGCTTTTGACGGTTTGTTCAAATGTGCATGAATTATATACATGTTAATGTGAGTGAAGTTGGGATTTGTTGACCACGTCACGGATCAGAAATCGAGGTCAACAGTTAGAATTTGTTACAAGAGAATGAAATATAATTTAAATACATGATCATGTGAGTAAGTTTAATATCGTGTTTAGTGAATTGGATTTAGTGAATTGGATAGGATTGAATGGGATTCAGCAGCTGAGAGAGGAATGGTGATTACAAGAATTTTGATGCTTTCCACCCTGTCGATATGCAACATATTAGTGACCAAGCCCCTTGAGATTCTTAGGCCAAACTATTATTATTTAAATGGATTATATCAGACTAGAAAAATGGCTAAATGGTAAATGAAGCAAAC